CTTGTCTGTTTCGGTCATTTCTGAACCTAGATGAAGAACCAGATTCCCTGTTCCTCGATTTTGATCATATCGTTGATTATCCTCCTTTGACCGTGAGCCTTTTCTTGTAGGTCCCATATATGGATCATACCTATTTTTACCTTATCTTTTTTCGGTTTATGACCTCCTGGAATTGCTTCTTTCTTCATGATGAAACTGAGGTACGGTATCTTCCTCAATTCGCAACTTCGTACTGTACCTGTTATAAACGTCATTCCAAGTGGTTGCAGGGAACTCTCGAAGGTTTTCTTTAAGTCTTCTCGTGGCTTCTGAACTTTTATCATTTAAGTTGCTTGCAAAAGCTATTGCAGCCCAATTATCAGGTACACGGGGTAAAGTCATCCTTTCACGTTGGAATCTATCAACAAAATCTCTAAGCAACTCTGAGTCCCCTTGTTTAATTTTGAAAATGTCTTCCATTCTTTTTTCAACCTTTTGAGCTCCCGAGTGCGCTTTAATAAAAGAATCTGCAAGCTCAGCAAAAGAATTTATAGAATTTTCAGGTAAAAGAGAATACCAGGTTAATGCACCCTTGGTGAGTGTTTCTCCAAATTTTTTGACCAACACGGATTCGATTTCTTGCTTGGTCAAATCGTTGGCTTTTACACCTGTAGTAAATGCAGTTACGTGATCACGTGGGTCTGTTGTGCCGTCATATTTCGAGATTTCAGGCATTTTGAACTTTTTAGGGATTGGAAGGGGAGCAGCACTTGGTTTCCAAGGTTGTTGCGAGTACTTATCCACATCCACTCCTTTGATCACAGGAGGAACACCAGGGATTTGCTCGATGCGCTCATTTTGTTCCTTAAGCTGTTTCTGCAAAGTTAGTACTAAATTTTGCAAATGAGAATTACTTGAATTACCTGGTTCTCCTTCCTGTGGCTCACTGGGGGTTCCTCCATTTCCAGAATTGATAAGGCCAGAACGAGGATTCTCCAGTGTGTTGCTATTAGGCGTAGGTGTGGGTGGTGCAACAGGTAATCGACTAACAAGAGTTTGAAGAGCTTTGTTAACCCGTGCATCAATTACTTTCTGTAAAGCGTCATCCGCTCCTTCAAAATATTCAGATTGCTCTTGTCAACAGCCCGGGATTCAGGAGTAGGAGTGCCTTCACGAGATTGACGTGGTGAATTTTGAGGGGAAGGAACCACGTTAATGTTTTGTAAATCACCTTGATTTTGACGGACTTGATGTTCATGGTTTCCCAAGGTATTCTCACTGTTATTGTTGTTGTTTTTGTTCGACATGATGATAATAACAGATAAAATGTAACTTAAAGAGAATAGATTATCAGATTCTCGGTAATGGAACCAATTTGTTTAACCAAAAAACTGAATATTTGGTTAAAACTAGAATTTAATAGAGAAATCGGGTTACTGATAATCAAGAAATAAGAGATTTTGTGAACAACAATAAAGCAATGAATAAGAGTATATTTCAGTATAATCGGAATGATATTTTGTGTCTCCTACAGATGTTGTGACTTTCTCCTTTTATAGTCAATTCTAAGAGAAAGTGTAATACCTTTGTCTTAATGAGGCAATTACGAGCAGTAAATGACATTAAAAGAAACGTTATTCAATCATTCTTATTAAATACAAATTCTCTAACGTATTTGGCATTTAATGTTGAATTTGGACTCTTTTACGCTATCAGATTCATATCTTCAATTCCTTCTGATCTTCGAGCTTTAAATGGCTCGAACAGGTGCGAGTCTCGTTTCATCTGGATAGTAGCTCGTACCTTTAAGTATCTTCTCTCCCGCATCTATTGTTGCTCATGTCTTCTAACTGTTTGCCATGCTTTGACTATTTGACCGGTCCACGTGTCATGACATGTCATCTTCAATATTTAAATTCAGTTTTTTCCCAATACATTGATGGTTCTCCAAAGTACAAATTTGACTTCTCATTACGAGAGCTTCATGCAGGGGCGGAGCTAAGTGGGCAGAAGGGGGTTCTACCGATCGAACCCCTTCCACCCGAAAATTATACTATGTATATAAGATCAACTTTTTCATATATATATATATATATATATATATATATAATAGAGGTTGAATCCCCTTTAGGAGTTAGAGATTGTTACTATATTAAGCATTTTGATGGAATGCATTTGGCTGTGTTCTTTACATAAAAAACGTAGGTGCATCTATAATTCTTGGTATTTTTTTTTTACATAGGGTAGTGCTCAAAGCCAACTAGTTTCTGGATATAGAAAAACAAGAGGAAGTGTAGAAATTTTTTATCATTGGCCAAAGTTGATGCATTGGTTGTGGCTAATCAATGGCTCCAATCCGGATTCATGCACCAAAATAACATTTGTGAAAATTGTCGTCCTTTAATTTATAACATTTGCAGATTTTCGGTGATAGAAAAATAAGGCAAAGCTGCTGAATTTATAGCCAAACAATCTGGGTTGAATAGGTGCGAAGGTACCTGTTTACATAAGGTATCAATTCGGCAAACATATTTTATATTTCTGTTTGGTCGAGAATTTTAAATTCACAGATGACCGTTAGGACCATTAGGAAATTAATGGCGAATTTAGAATACAAAATCCGGCAAAAAAATATCAGGAACAAGAAATAAATAAGGGAAAAATAGGAAAACTCTTTCCTTGAGAAAATTTGATAAACCACACATACATTGCCTGTTTCTTCAAAAAAATTCACCTAATTCAAGTAAAAACCAATTACTAGCACACATTAATGGATAGCAGCAATCATTTTTATTTAAATAATTATAACCGGTTTTATAAATGAAATCAAACATAATAAAAAGAACAAAACTAGAGACTATATGTTTAAGTATAGCACCCACCTTGTACAAAAAGTTTAAAATAAATTAAACTAAAATGAGTGTAGCAACATCATAATATAAAGTATATTTAATTAAGTGACAAAACAGCAGAGAAGCCAACCCATAATCTTGATGATCGAGCTAGATGTTGTGGAATCAGGAGACATGTCAAAAGAAAGGTAAATTAATTAAAAAAAAAATTAAAAAAGACACAGTTCCAACAGTTGGAGAAAGATAAAGAGATTTTTGGTCTTCTCTTTATAAGTTTAGTTTAAACTTGTAGTACAAGAGCAGAAGAAGTAGCTAAGAGAGTAAAAGTAAGAGTATATATTTCTTGGAGCTAACACAGATATCTATTGGTTTATTACTAATATGAGACATTCATCAAACCTCTACTCACTTGCTATTGCCCTAGTTTTGATTTTCCATTTCTTGTTTCTTGCTCATGCTCACCAACTTGTCTCTAATGATCTCATTGTTGATTCCTCTGGAGATTCAATGAAAGTGGTAAATATCTCTCTCTCTCTCTTGAAAGCACCATGAAGCAATTATGTATGTGTATATATGTTCAGAGGCGGACCTAGAGTGTCGCGGGTTAGTTCAATTGAACTCGTGATCATTTTTAGTATAGACCATATATATATGTATTTATACTGATAAAAAATTATTTGTGAAAAATCCTAAAAAGTAGTATTTTAACTATATATTAAGTTATAATGAGTTCATATTTTTAAAATACTCATAACTTTGAATTTATTAAATTTTAATCATAGATCTGTCTCTATATATACTGTATATGTATGTGTATAAGTTTGGTTTCTTGTTTTTGTGTGGAATGTTTAAGAATTGGAGAATTGATGCAGGAAACAAATGGATGTGAGAAAGAGAGAGGTGATTGCAAACAAAGGAATGGTAATGGAGGAAAAGAAGAGAGTATGTTTGAGAATGAAGACTATATCTATACACAGTCTACTCTTCCTTAGGTGAATCTTCTCTTTTACTGTTTTTTCTTTTCTTTTCACTTTGTAAAATAGATTTTGATCAATTCATCAAATGAATCGAATAGGATATTGCAAGTTTTGATTATTAATAAGATTGTTTTATCTTTTTTTGGATTCTTTTGTTATATATTCAGCATTCACAACAATTACAACAAATTGTTGTTCAAAAAAAGTCCAACTTTCACACATGACTAATTAGAGACTAGCATATACAACTTGGTTATTAATTTGGTTATTCAAGATATGTAAAACAGATTGTGGAACAATCTAACAAAGAGATGGATGGATATTGCTTCCATTTAGACACTTAAATTGTTCGAATGCTTGAAATGTATGTCGACCATAGTATCAATAAACAGGTCGGGTCAAATTTGAATAGGGTGAACTGAGTAGAGTTTATGATTGGGTCATGAACCTGAACGGAACAGATTAAGTCAATTGATGAAGAGCAAACTTCATTTGTATCCATCCGGGAAAAACTAATGACAATAGCTAGCGACAAAATAAACCATACAATTAACAGCCCAAAACTAATTAAAAGGCTAGCCTAAGACCACTGTCACTCTTCCCCCTCTCTCCAGCGTTCCTCCGCCGCTGTCAGAATTCAAATCACGCCATCCGTTCATCCTCACCCAACACCACAACTACCACCTCCTCAAAATCCTAACTTCCTTCTCCCTCAACGATCATACGCATTTTCCTCAGCCGAAGAAGCCGATGCCGAACATCGCCTTCGCAAGCGCCGCCTCCGTATTGAACCACCAATATACGCCCTCCGTCGTGATCCACTCCCGAGGGGACCGCCTTTACCTGACGACCGTCGTCATATCACTTTTTTGTTCTTCCATAATTGAATCTCTGCCCATTGTTCTGTCTTTGCTTACGTAAACAGTGGGTGTTCCCACAAAATTTCTTCTTCTTCAAGAATGCTCCAAATAGAGGGGATATATACGGTTCGAATTTAGTGTTTATTATTTGGTTAAAAAATCAAAAATATTCAGTTAACTAATAAAAGATTTGGAATATGCACTATTAATCCCTTAATCTCCTTATCCTCTGTTGCAACTCGTGCATATCAAACATGAATATTTTATCAATCTCTTTTTTGGACCAACTTTTTCATAAAAAAATGTATATGAGGCTAATATTTAAAAGTCATTTTAGATTATGTAGTAGACTGGAGAGCATTTCTTTTGAATATTGGTATATTACAAAATATATATACAAAATAGATTGTCACTATACAAAAATTATACAAAATAGACTGTTACTATACAATTTATATACGATAGACTGTCACTATACAAAATACATACAAAAATAGACTGTCATTATACAAAAAATAAACTAAATAGACTGTCACTATACAAAATAGACTATCACTATACAAAAATAGACTGTCACTATATAATTAATATACAATAGACTGTCACCATACAGAATATATACAAAATAGACTGTCACTATACAAAATATATACTAAATAGACTGTCAATATATAAAAAAAAAGATACAAAATATATTGTCGCTATACAAAATAGACTGTCACTATACAACAAATATACAAAATAGACTATCACTATACAAAATATATAAAATAGACATTTCGGGCTATTAGATGTAATATGTTTGGGCCGGAGGGCCATTTTGTGTCAATGGACAAAAACATGGGCTATCTTTTAGTGGTAATTAGCTATCTATAGATACCATTTGCTATATTACGGATTGTAGATACGCTTTATGTTGTTATAAGATGTATTAGATGTATTTAAGCTACTGTATTCATGAATACAGTAGCAAAAATAGGCGTGAATCAGGAAAGTCCAGCTAATCAGTTGTTGTATTCAAGTGTATTCGACTGTATTCATGGCGTGGAACATAGGATTACAGCTGGACAGATTATTATATCGACTGTATTCAACTGTATTCACAGCGTGAAACAGGGGATTACACTGTTTTTAAACTGAAAGTGAATCAATTAACATAATAGACTCCTAATATAACTCAATAAACTCAATTATAACACATAAAATTTGTATTTCCAGTTATAAAAAAGATTCTCAACCGAAAAATACCCCAAAAACATAGCAATCTTCAGAGAAATTATATAATACATCTGAATACATAATTATATGTGACGACCCAAAGGGTCATCACCTGTTTTCTCATTCATCCCGTGCTTCCGAGGCCTTGAAAACCTCATTTTTACTCGCCTCGATTTGCGTGCGCAGTCCGGGCGCGTAGCCGGAAAGCTTAAATATGAATTCTGTGTAAAAATTTATGAATTTTGATATTATTATGATTAAAGTTGACTTTGGTCAACATTTTTGGTAAAGGGACCTGGACCCGTGATTCGACGGTCCTGGAGGGTCCGTAGAATCATATGGGACTCGGGCATGTGCCCGGAGTCGAAATCCGAGGTCTAGAACCCGAGTAAAAGAATTTTTCTGTGAAATTATTTTTCTGAAATTATTAAGGAAAATGGAAATGAAAATTGATTAAAAGACTATGGTATCGGGCTCGTATTTTGGTTCCGAAGCCCGGTACAAGTCTTAAATATGTGTTAAGCGCTTTCTGTAAAGTTTGGTCGAAAACGGACGTCATTTGGCGTGTTTCGGACCTAAATATCTAAAATTTGAAGATTATGAAGTTAGAATGAAAAATGATGATTTTGAGGCTTGATTCATTGATTTTGATGTTGTTTTGGCGATTTAATCGCATGGTTAAGTCCGTAAGATGTTGTCGAGTTAGTGTGTGTGATTGGTTAGGAGCCCCGAGGGCTCGGGAGTGTTTTCGAAGGTTTTCGGGGTAGTTTTGGACTTAGGGAGTTAGCAAATTTTCTGCAATTTTTACACAGGGATTTTCTTCATCGCGTTCGCACTAGCCCTCCCGCATTCGCATAGCCTTGCTCCCTTTTCTCCTTCGCGTTCGTGTTCTGGCCATCGCGATCGCGAAGCTTTGCTGCTTCCTTCAACGCGTTCGCGTGTCTCCTCACGCGTTCGCGTAGGCCCAGATCCCAGACCCCAGCCATTTACTCTACGCGTTCGCACTCCCCCTGTCGCGAACGCGATGCTTCCCAGCCCCCTTCTTCGCGAACGCGACCCCCATGTCGCGAACGCGAAAGGCAAATTTGTCCAGCGATTTTAAATACCCAAAACAGAACCCATTTCGGGATTTTTCCCCATTTCACGAAAACCTTTCTTCTCCACAGCCTTGTAACGAATCTTGGAGCATTTCTTCACCAAATATTCTTGGGTAAGTATTACCTAACTCATTTTCTTCATTTTCTATCATCATCCAATGAAATCCTAGGCCTAGAACATGTAATCTAGGGTTGAAATTGGGGGAAATGGGTAGTGTTAGGGCTTTTCGATTTTCTTTAATTTAGACCTCATTTTGGGGTCGAATTTGAAAACAAATTATATTCGGGCTCGTGGGGGGATGGGTAACATGAAATTGGTTCGAACCTCGTGTTTTGACCAAGTGGGCCCGGGAGCGATTTTGGAATTTTTAGAAGAGAGCTTGAAAATTCATATTTAAGTATTGGGTCTAGTTTGTTTAGCTATTATTAATATTGTAAAGTCATTGTTTCATAGATTGACTGAGTTGGAGCCGAATTGAGGGGTAAAGCTATACTAGAGGCTTGAGTTGAGTTTGGAGCATCCGAGGTAAGTGTTTGATCTAACTTTGGCTTGAGGGAATAGGATTAGAGTATTATTTGCTAATTGCTAAATGTGGAGTACGGTGTATAGGCATGGTGATGAATATCTATACACCGGTGTCTAGCATGATCGTGAGTCCTTATTTGTGCTTATTTGGGATTCGGTAGTGACTCTTCCTTGTTAATTGATTATTTCTATATAATGTGAAGGGTATGAGAAAGAATTATGACTTGTGAACTCTTTGGAGCGTTGGCTCAATTGCTAAAGTAATTGTTGAGTAAGAAATGAAAGAAAGAGAAAGAAATGTGATTGTTCCCTTGCCGGGATTTAGCTGTTTACTTGTGTTTTCCCTTGCCGGGACTTCTATTACTGTTTGTCTATCCCCTCGCCCCCTTGTTTGTGATTGTTGCTTGGGTGAGGAAGAGTAATAAAGCACGAAGGTTGATGCCGTGCACGAATTGTGTTGAGAATATATTAATGCACGAAGGAACATTCCGTGCCATGTTTTGATTATTAATGCACGAAGGAACATTCCGTGCCATGTTTTGATTATTATTGCACGAAGGAACATTCCGTGCCATGTTTTGATTATTAATGCACGAAGGAACATTCTGTGCCATGATTATTAATGCACGAAGGAACATTCCGTGCCATGTTTCGATTATTATTGCACGAAGGAACATTCCGTGCCATGTTTTGATTATTATTGCACGAAGGGACATTCCGTGCCATGTTTTGATTAGTAATGCACGAAGGGATATTCCGTGCCATGTTTTGATTATCACTCTCGTTGACTTTGTAGTTGTACCGTTTCATTCCTTATTTATTGACCTTGTATTCTAAATTGCTACAGCCCCTACAGCATGCTCCCCTCCCTCTTGACTTGTTAAATTTCTGTATTCTCTTCTATTGCGTATGTATATATTTGAACTGCACAGGTTTGTTGGGTAGTCCGGTCTAGCCTCGTCACTACTTCGCCGGGGTTAGGCCAGGCACTTACCAGCACATGGGGTCGGTTGTGCTGATACTATACTCTGTGCATCTTTTTGCACAGATCCAGGTGTTGGAGCAGCATTTGAGTAGCAGTAGCATTCTGGGAGCGAGTTTCCAGTCCAGGGACATTCGAGGTAGCCTTGCTGACGTCCGCAGGCCCGGGGTCCTTTCTATTTTATTCAGTTTGTTATCGTTGCACCGTAGCAGACAGTTTTATGATTCATTCAAACCTTGTATTTAGTATTCTGTAGACGTTCGTGAGTATTGTGACACCAGTCTTGGGTAGAGGATTGTTAAACTTCCGCGTTTTTTTTAGTAAATTTTATTTGAGACTTCCGCTTTATTATTGTTAATACTGTTGATGTTCGCTAAAAGAGGTAATTGATGATTGGCTTGCCTAGCTCCTATTAGTAGGCGCCATCACGACTCCCGAGGGTGGGAAAAATCCGGGTCGTGACA